GGGGTGCGGCGGGTTGGGTCCGGCAGCGCCGAGGGGCAGCGCTACAGCACAAACCAGCAGCACTCCAGCAGCTCTGCCCCCAGCTTCACCGATTCAGCCGCTGGTCAGTTTCAGCAGCAGCTGAATCGGGGAAGCCGGGGGCAGAGAAGCTCCAATGGTTCAGCTGCCCGGAGCACTTCCGGGTTCCTGATGGTGCCAGACTATCAGGAGTGCTGGACTATCAGATGCCGGACCATCAGATGCCAGACCAATGGAGTTTTACTGTACTTTGGAAATGAAATTATACTCTCCTGCCTTGGTACTATGCACCAAGACTCATCCAGCTGTAATCCACTTCTGTTCTGCTTTCCATTTTATTGGAAAGAACTACTAAAGACAGTGACACACTCAACTTAGTCCATGAACTCTGCAGGGGAGGACAATACAGGCTTAAGGTATATTACATCTGTACAAAGTAAATTAGCCAAATCCAAGCAAGCATATTTGGTAAACTGTCAATCAAGAACACTTTTTCCCAGCCAGATTCCAAATTTTGGAAGCCTGACAAAAATTCTTTATTTTGATTTTACTATTAGGAAAAGAATATAATATAAAAACAATTTAATTTCTTGTACATTTTTACATATAAAAGAAGGCACCTTTGTACACTTTGTATATATGAGCTTTTTTTACAGTATTTCAATATAAATAGGGGAAAACCAGAAGATAATAAGCATAATTCCATTTAGATTTCCTCAGTTTCAACATGTATGGGAAACCATCCCAAATCATTATTCAATATAGTTTGACATAATAAAACAACATGCCTCATTTTTGCTAATGTTTCAGTTCACAATTCTGATAGACTTGATTTGTTTTAAAAACATGATATGCCATCAGGATGCAGGGGTACATTATTTTCTATCACAAGACATACATATATTGCTACTGGTGCACAGAAAAAGTTAAGATTTGGCTAAGAGAACTAATTTGTACTGAAGATTTGTTCATTACACCATTACTCTTTGAAAATATTTTAAAGAAAAGAAAGGACTAATTAACACTTACAGTTCAGATTCAACAAATTTCAGTCAGAGCAAAGCATTTCTCCTCTACAAGGCAATGCTGAGATGACAAACCCAATTCTGTGACTGGAAGGGAGACGTCAGCAGGAGACGTCAGCAGCCACCACCATTTTAGAAGCCTTTTTGGTCAAGCCTTCCCAAAAAAGATTAGCAGGAGCAACCTAGTTATACACGTTTTGTCTACCTGTAGCAATAAGGTTCAGCTAGGCATTTGTCAGACTTGTAGGTGAATAAAAAAAACTCAATTAGGATAAAATTGTAGCAGGGAACAAAGAAAAGTTTGAGAAGATATTTAACTTGTCAGCAGAAGTCCCTTTAATCTTGCAATCTTCACAGTTCAGGAGTAGACAGTGGGTAAAATTTTCAAGTGACTTTGGAGCGTAAGTCACTCTTAAAAGTGGGACCTAAGAGCCTAAGTCACTACAGTGAATCTGAAAATTTTCCTACTCATATTTGGTGTGTGAGAAACAGTTTCTTTAATGTTTTACCTTGATTTCAGTTTTCAATACCCAGTAACTGAAATTGCACAGCAAGTCAGTTTAAGATAATACAGTACAGCCTGCGCCCGACTTGCGAAGCAATCGGTTCCAGAGACAGCATTGCAAGTCAGGGGCGTCGTAAATTGAGACCGCATTTATGACAGGCATCGTACGCCATTGTAAATGTGGGGCCAAGGATGTATGTCGGAGGATTTCGGCCCCTTCCGCACTTACAGAAAAGGTCGTAAGTGCGGGAGGGTCACAAAATTGGGCCATCGCAAAGCAGGGGCCTCCTGTAATCTAATTCTAGATTCACAAAAAAATATATATATATCTGCCTATGACATTTCCTTAACTTTACAATTAGCTGCAATAACTAGTAATCATTATATTAAATGAAAAAAATCACAGTTGTCAAAATGAAATTTCCTTCATTGTAAAGTGGAAAAAAAACAAAGAAACCTCAAAACCCAAACACACTCTGGAAAGGTTTACTCTCCATATCGTATTTCTGCTTTTAGCTCGTGTGAGAGATAATTTATTAGTACTGCTGCCAGCTTCTGTTGGAGGGCAGCATTTCCCATTACAAGGGCAGTCAACTGTGCAGCATCAGTCCAGTCTAAGTTTCTGATAATAGCGAAGGCATCGTCATAGAGCTTCTGCTGCTCGGCAGGGGACAGTTCCAGTATAATCTGGGGGATTGGCTTAAACTGTCCAGCAGTCATCCAAGCACCAAATAAACCACCAACTGCACCCCCTAGGAAATAAAGGGAGAAGTCTTTAGTCAGTCTCCACTTTTTCTTATTAAACTTCAAACCCTACCCAGCAATAACCAGGCTTCAAAAAACAAACCTGGTGCTTCTGTCTCTATCAGAAACCAATGAAGAAAGTTGTGTGGCCAAGGCACCATTACTTTAATAGTGACACATAAAACTAGTTAAAAATATCCAGAGAGTTTCCAAGACTTTAAGTTAGCTCCCATTACAAACCAATTCTTAAAACAAATCAGCACTAATAATTTAAAGCCCTAAATTAGTGAGACGGAATCATCCTTTATGGCACTAACTAGTCTCTTTCAGAGAAAAATGAAGATCATAGACTCTGGATAAAGCCCTCTGGTCAAGGAAATCATAAGACAAAATGTACTTTGGTGGCCAATGTTAATCTTCTACTCTCTCTCATTACAAATCGATACCGTAGTACAAGTGTCTGCTACTGTTAAAGAGGAATTACTCCTCTTGTTCCTTTTTTCAAGTCCTATCACGGATGGTGCTTATATGATACCAATCAGGAAACAAAACTATCAGTTTGGGAAGTACTGATTGAGAGACAAGTCACCCTAGGGATTACTGAATCAGCAAGTACATGGATTCCAAAAATATGCTCTTACCTTGTGTATAGAACTGACTCGTCCCCTCCCAAGTACACAGTGGGTGGAGGGGAAGGAAGATTCCTACGTGGCTGTCAAAGTGGTAACTGGCCTACTCCAGGGAGAAGTTCTAATGGTACAGTACTATGAGGGGTGTTATTCCGTTTCAAAAGAGAATCAATCCCAACCTGTAAAGTAATTCTCTTTCACATAATACAACAAATGTGAAGTCCTGAAAAATGTGCATCACCAGGAACATCCTGGTCAGCTTAGACTCCTCACGTGTGCAAAGTGGAGTCGAGAACTGCACTCCGCAGCTTCCAGAGCCCTCACCCTCAGGGACTGCTCCAGGGACATCATTTATACACCCACTTCACACGACAAATATTCCTTAATTTGAAAATTGTACTGAGCTTGCAAATCTTCTGGTGATGTTTATGAAATGCTTGAACACCTACAATGGCTGCATTAATCTGCACTCCACCTTTATGAAACCACCAATACCTGATTTAGGGAGCACTACATGCGGAAATCACTGATGTGGCTCTTAGGGCGGTTTCTTACACAATCATTTGTTTTCTTCAGTTAACTTATTCACGAATACACTACCCAGAAAGGGATCCAAGCAACCGCTCTAGACACTGGAAAGCAAGATAAACTGCCTATTTCTCCTGGGACAGACTCAGCAGGGGACCACACAGCAAAAGATAATGATAACCATCCTATCCGGTCTATTGTTAAAGGAAACATGCAGTCAAGGACTCATCTACCCCATAATCAGTTCATATTTCTGCTAAAACAATGAAAAATGCTCTGTAACGAAGCCTAACCATCAGAGTGTTCAGGGCAAGCATTAGATCAGTCACAGGATCTCTTACTTCTACAGCCGTGGTCGCCAACATGGTGCCCGCGGGTGCCATGGCGCCCGTGGGGACATTTGTATGTGCCCGCCAAGTGCTCGGGGCTGGCCTGGCCCCGGGGCACATGGTGCATGGTGAGCGCCAGCCCCGGGAGCGCCGCGGATTGGCCGCCCGTGCTCTGGGCGTGGGGCGCTTGGAGGGGGCACTGGCCCCAGGCGCGCGGCTATGGGGGGGGCCGCCCCCGGGCATGCAGCTATGGGGGGGGCAGCCCCCGGGTGCGCAAGTGTCCCCGCCCCCTGGCACCCGGCGGGGGGACGGGCCCCCCCCCCTGCGCCCGACTGTTCTACAGTATAAGAATCTAGATAAAATCAGAGTCCTGTGACTCAGTTACATTCGTATAAAGACAAGGACACACATAAGCACTCGGCCTCCCTTCCAAACAATGCACTTGATTCATTGTGTCTAGTGTCTTCCTGCCAGAGCTAGTCACTTAAAATGGGGTGTACAAGAAAAAACACCTCCTAGTTTTACGGCAGTGGCCATAGCCAGTTGGTTTCATTTGATTATTTCTATATTTATAGTTATTGAATTATCTGAACACCCGTGTTCCCTCTAAGATTTTCCAACCATGAGCAGAGTGAGTTTTGTCTTGTGTTCCAATATTGAGGTCATGTGCGCTGGTTTGGATATGTGCCACTGTGGCACCCAATTTATTAACACACACATTCCTGCCTCTCCCCACCCCCATGCAGCATGTTCCGTTCTTCTCAGTTGCCAGAGCAGACACTATCCCTCCTACTCCAGCCATGTGGCATGTCCCTTTCCTGGCCACTGGAGCAGACACACACACCCCGCCATGCAGCAGGTCCCATTCCCAGTCCCAGCTACCAGAACAGGCCTGGTCACAGGAGCAGATCTCTCCCCTCCGGAATAAAGCCCTTTTCCGGAGGATCGCGCCAATCTAGACACTTTTTTCCGGCTTTTCCCTAAGCCGGAAAAAAAGCGGCGGCCATGTTTATTTAAATCCCACAGGGGATATTTAAATCCCCCGCGCATTTCCCTATTCCAAAGTTCTAAATTAGCATGCCTATTCCGGAGAAGTGGCCAGTGTAGACATAACCTGTTTGTACAGCTCCTAGCATAAAGAGAGTTTGATCCATGAGTGAGGCTTCTCTAGGTACTACCACAACAGGAATGCATAATAAGGTGAATTAAGGGGCAGAAGTCATTACATTGCATGTCCTCAACTGCATTCTAAGTTGAGGTTATATGAAAACATGAGACTCACCATTGTGCCACAAATTAAAGGGAAAATTTACAAATTCCTTTTATTAGGGACTGCAATAGTTTGCTTCCCTCGTCAAGGCAGATTTCTGTGGTGAAATGGGGCAAAGCAGAAGACCCTATGGTACTTGTCGGCTATCAAATCCCCCCCCCCCCTTTTCTTCTGCAGACTAAACAAACCCAAATCCCTCAGTCTCTCCTCATAGGTTATGTGCTTCAGCCCCCTAATCATTTTGGTTGCCCTCCGCTGGACCCTCTCCAATGCGTCCACATCCTTCCTATAGTGGGGGGCCCAGAACTGGACACAATATTCCAGATGTGGCCTCACCAGAGCCAAATAAAGGGGAATAATTACTTCTCTGGATCTGCTGGCAATGCTCCTCCTAATGCACCCTAATATGCCATTAGCCTTCTTGGCTACAAGGGCACACTGTGACTCATATCCAGCTTCTCATCCACTGTAATCCCCAGGTCTTTTTCTGCTGAACTGCTACTTAGCCATTCAGTCCCCAGCCTGTAGCAATGCTTTGGATTCTTCCGTCCCAAGTGCAGAGTCCTGCACTTGTCCTTGTTGAACCTCAACAGATTTCTTTTGGCCCCATCTACTAATCTGTCCAGGTCACTCTGGACTCTATCTACCTCTCCCCCTAGCTTAGTGTCATCTGCAAACTTGCTGAGGGTGCAATCCATCCTCTTATCCAGGTCATTAATAAAGATGTTGAACAAAACTGGTCCAAAAACTGATCCCTGGGGCACTCCACTAGAAACCGACCGCCAACCTGAACATCGAGTCATTGATCACTACCCGCTGGGCCTGACACTCTAGCCAGCTTTCTATCCACCTTACAGTCCATTTATCCAACCCATACTCCCTTAACTTGCTGGCAAGAATACTGAGAGACCATATTAAAAGCTTGGCCAAAGGCTCCGCCATGACATTTGCCAACTCCCTCAGTAACTTCGGATGCATTAAATCAGGGCCCGGGACGACCGGACACTTTGAGAAGCTCATGTTGACCCAATGTAAAGATGTGGGGAACATGGTCAGGTTCCTTAGCTCCTTTGAGCAGGCCTGTGAACTACACCAGATCCCCCCAGCAGACTGGCTCCAGCAGCTCTTCCCCTTGATAGATCAGAAGGCCACAGGGGTGCTCAACCAGCTGGAGAATCTGCAGCCGGGTGCCTACGAATGGGTCAAACAGGCCCTGCTGCACAAGTTCAGGCTAACCCCGGAAATATACAGGAAGAAGTTCCAGGGGGTGCAGAAGGAGCCCAGGGAGGCCTATGCGGATGTGGTTTCTTGCCTGCCGCAATACTGCTGCAAATGGCTGTTCGGGGTCGGGGCCCAGACCGCAGAGGACCTGGTTAAGCTGATGATCCTGGAACAGTTCTATGAAGTTTGCTCGCCCATCCTGAGGTTGTGGCTCAAGGACCGGAGACCAGAGGACCCCCAGGATGCCGGGAAGCTGGCGGATGAGTTCACAGACAGCCGGTCCGGGTGTGAACGGGAGTCCCAGAGAAAAAGGGAATCCGGAGAGGAAGGGAATCGTAAAGAGACCGGTTCTTGGCTGAGCAATGGAGGAAGTCTCCTACGGGGCGAGCCCAAGAGACAAGGACCAGCCCCCCCATAGAGACAGCCTGATGAGTCCCACAGAAACTAACCTGCCATCGCTGTGGGCAAAGAGGCCACAAGAGTGCTCAGTGCAGCAGGCACCAGGACAGGTCCCACAACCTGAGACTTTCCAAGGTTAACTGACTGGGGCTGGCCGCCCCAGAGGCAGGGGCCGGCAGGAAAACATCAGCTCCAAGTGGGGGAAAGGGCCTCTCAGGCCAACTCCCCTGTGAGATCTGACCCTCTGGAGTTGGATTTCTCTGTGTACTGGGTGGTGGCAGGGCGACCCTGCAGAGCAAGTGCCTCGTGCCCCTGGAGATGGATGGCAGGGAGGTGGGGCTACTGGGATATGGGTGCGGAGGTGACGCTGGCCCGGCCCGAGGTAGTAGCCCCAGACTACATGGTACCCAATGCTAAGCTGACCCCAAGGGGCATAGATGGGACCTCATTTAAGGTTCCTATAGTCCAGGTGCATCTGAAATGGGGGGCTAAGGAGGACCCCAAGGAAGTGGGGGTGCACCAGCACTTGCCCACGGAGCTGCTGATGGAAAATGGCCAGACGGATCCCACAGGGCCCTGGTCAGCATCCGTAGCCAGAGCCAGTGAGCGCCTGGCAACCCTGACCCAGGGAAGGGTTCCCTGCAGGGGACTCAGGGCCCCATTCTAGCAGACACGGAGTCCAGTAGGGCTAGAGCCCCGGACCCAGGCAAGAGGGAGGGGTAGGGGGGCAGGGAACAGGCCCTTGCCCCAGCTGCAGAATTCCAGGCTGAGGTGCAGGCAAATCCCTTCTTACAGAGGCTGAGGGACCAGGCTGGCCTCCGCGCAGCTCAGCCCCTGGGAAAAGGCCACCAGGAGATTCCTATGGGAGAGGTGATTCCTGTACCAGGAATGGCTCCCCTCAGAAGATGGCGAGGTGGGGGGTCCAGCAGCAGCTGGTGGTTCCCCAGAAATATCGCCCCAGGCTGCTGTATATGGCCCATGACATCCCATTTGCGGGGCACCGGGGTATTCGGTGCACCTGGCTGAGGCTGCTTCAGGCCTTTTACTGGTCCGGGATATTTGCAGCTGTGCAGCGGTACTGCTGGGCCTGCAACTCTTGCCAGAGGGTGCGGAAAGCCCGAGACGAGGGGATAGCTGGGATAGCTGCCTTGAGGTACCAGCCCACCATAAAGGAGCCATTCCAGAAGGCAGTAATAGATATAGTGGGGCCTGCCGGCCAGGCGACCCAGATGGGGAAAAGATACATCCTGGTAGCAGTGGATTTGGCTACCAACTGCCACGAGGTCATGGCTCTGCCCTCTATCGAGGCAGACATGGTGGCAGACATGCTGCTGGCCATTTTCAACAGGGTGGGAGTCCCCCAGGAAGTCAAGGGCCAAGGATCCAACTTCATGTCAGCCCTACTCCAGTGCTTGTGGGAGAAGCGCAGGGACCAGCTCACTTGGGCCCCAGGGGGGGGGGGGGGGGGAGAAATTCCAGGGAACCCTGGAAGCAGATGCTGGAGGTCTTCATGCACTGTCACCCACAGGACTGGGACAAATACCTGCCCCACCTGCTGTCTGCACACAGGGAGGCACCACAAGGGTCTACCAGGTTCTCCCCGACTGAGCCAGGATGCAGAAAGGGGAAGGACCTCCTGGGATTGCTGAGAGAGTTATGGGAGGGGTAGACCTCCCCAAATTGAGTGTCAGGGGTGGAGGATGTCCTGACTTTTTGGGAAATGCTCACTGAGCTCACGGGTCTAGCCAGAGAGACCATGGGCAGAGACCAAAGGAAGTGGAAGCCTGGGCCTGCACCAGCCATCTCAAAGCCGTGCAGCAGTGGCAGGCCCGAACCAAGGGGAGCACCAATGTCACTGATGCCGTTTTACCTGGCAGGAGGCCCAAACTTCTGTAGGTAACAAGTGGAGTGACCCTGCTCAGTTTGCTCTCGGAGGGGGGAGAGATGTGATGTAGCGGGGGTGCTGTCTGGTCTATAACCTGGGGTTCCCCTGTGCTGTGATGTGTGATTCCCACTGACTCACCCACATGTGTATTGGCCCAGACACCTAGTCCCAGCCTCAGCAGATAACACTGGTCTTCCTCGGGGGAGAGACAAAGGAAGGGAGGCAGTGAGGGTCACCTGGGGGGGGGGCAGGGCCTGGGAGCTGGGGAGTTTTGTCAGAGGAAGAATGCTGTGAGTTGAGGGACCTATGCACCCTTGCCCCAAGTGGTCTAGGGCTGCCAGCCCCTGACTCCTTGGGTATGTTTAGACTGCATCCCTCTGTCGGCAGAGGGATGCAGATTAGGCAGGTCAACATTGCAAATGAAGCAGGGATTTAAATAGCCCGTGCTTAAATTTGCATAAAAATGGCTGCCATTGTTGCAGACTCCGCACTTTGTCAACAAAAAGAGGCAGTTTAGAGGGGGGATTGTCGAGAAAGAAAGCCTTTTTCGACAGATCGTTTATGCCTCCTGCAAGAAGGTTTACAAGATGTGTCGAAAAAGGCTTTCTTTCTCCACAATCCCCCTCTAAACTGCCTCTTTTTGCGGACAAAGTGCTGAGTCTTCAAAAACGGCGGCCATTTTTATGCTTCATTTGGAATGTCGATTTGCCTAATCTGCATTCCTCTGCCGAAAGAGGGATCCAGTCTATACATACCCCTTATGTCCACATCGCATCTATGCTGTGCTGTATCCTGAAGAAGCAATAAACCCTCTCTATTCTACTGGCTGGCAGAGTCTCATTTTGCTGCTTCGGGGGCGCACCCCGATGATGACGTGCCGCCACAACATCTCTACTCATGTCAGTATTCCCTTTGTGGTGTATGGGACTGTTTGTGAGAATAAACTTATACACATGGCTCAAGCATTTAAAGGATTGTGGCAGAAGTAACATCAGTAGTAAGCTAACTTTAATGCCACAGAAGGTGGCATTAAAAGAGATATCTGGATTTCTCTTCCTTTGGTTCTCATTGCTACTAAGTTCAGGGCTTTAATATTTTTGTTATACAAAGAAATGCTAATTGATAGGGAACACAGGGTTCTGAAAAAAACTAAATACACCCAGCGTGACAACAACCACAGCACAAAATTTTAAATAAACAAACCTTATTATCAGAAGGATATTTATATTTAGGAAGGATACTCTGGATTTCTCTTCCTTTGGTTCTCATTGCTACTAAGTTCAGGGCTTTAATATTTTTGTTATACAAAGAAATGCTAATTGATAGGGAACACAGGGTTCTGAAAAAAACTAAATACACCCAGCGTGACAACAACCACAGCACAAAATTTTAAATAAACAAACCTTATTATCAGAAGGATATTTATATTTAGGAAGGATACTCTTCATTTTATACCCAAATAAAACAAATTTCTATGAGGAGTAAAAATGGAGTCTCCAATCCACTTTTTTCTATCTACCAAAGATCTGTAGGAAATGATCTGATAAGTGTTCCCTCAGGGGAACTCCACACCAGCCATAAATTTAAGCTGAAACACTTGGCACAGAATATCTTTTTACTATCAGAAAGTAAGATGAAAACCCGTTTTACCTTCTATTTAAACTACACCACATCTCAATTGTTTAAATTCCTTAGTTCAACAGCTTATCTTATTATGGACATAATCATCTTTGCTCAAATGGTAGAGTGTTTACCTATGGCTATTCCAGGTGGGCCCCCCATTAAGCCCCCAACAAATGCTGTTGCACCCGCTACTAGTGCTCCTTGTCCAGAATGCTTGATAGCAGCCTTCATCTTCCTCTCCTCAGAGATACGGCACAACAGGCGCATCACGTCATTAACGTCGATTGGCATCTTGGCTTGTTAGGACCCTGAAAGAGATATATTTTAAGGTCACGTTTATAAAAAAGGATCAGTTCCTAGAATAACATTTCTTCTTCCAGAGACCAACAGTTCCAGAGACCAACACTTTTACAAGTACCCAATGAAGCAGAGAAGTAGGTCAAAGGCGTTGCATAATTCCAAACATATTTGGTTTTGTTCAAATTTTTATCTGGTCACAGTCATAGCAAAGAAACATTTTAAATAAAAGTTCTGCCTATATGTACATTGTGTTGTCTTTAACCTTGAACAATTGCCATGTCCACTCAGTGTTGCAAACAGCTACATGTGAGAAAAGAAACACTCAGTCTTACCTCAAGATAGGACTAGCAGATTGTAATTCACAATCATCCTTAATTCTGGCATTTCCTAACTTTGCAATATTAACATATTTTTCAATGCAGATTTGTGTGTGTGTAGTATACATTTAACTTAAGTCACTTCCTTACTTTCTTGTAAAGACAGGCCCTTAGGAATAAAAATGAAAGCAAACAGTGCCAGAGAGGTGGGAGGGGGTTTTTTCAGCTTAATTTTAAAGTTGGAAAGTTATTTCATAATGAAGAATTAGATCTCTTTCTGTACCATTTAAAAGGGCAATGAAAAATGTTCCTAGCGTGCTAGTACATAAGAACCACCATTTGGGATTTGACCCTACTGAGCTAGGTGTCAAAAAAATAGACCACCACTAACAGAAAGTCACTGCCCCCAAGCATTTTACAATCTAGGTGGTGATTCACTGCAGCTCATCCAGGCCCACAAACAAGAAAATTCATGAAAAGGAGCTCCCAGAGCTGCAGGAGGATGCATGAGGTGAAAAGGTTAGATTGGGGGTGGATAATGTGGAACAGACCAGGGGTTGGGGAGTAGGTGAGATATGAGGCCAAAATTAATTGATGTCAGGCCAGGAAGGTACAGAAACAACATGGGTTGGAGTGTGCGCCTGATTAATCAACATGGGTGAGGGCCAAGGGCAGATGTAGGACTTAGGTTGCATTATAATTAACATTTGTAAGTTTTGGGACGAAGTCGCTGAGCCACAAGCAACACTTTATATAATTTTGGGCAAATGTAAAAACCACTGTGTTTGCTACAAGATGCCAGTGAATATGTATAATTAGGTGGATAGAGACAGTGAAACAGGAGAAATGCTTTAATATACATTTTTAAATATCCCTGTTTCTCTTACCATGTGTTCCTTATCTGTCTAAATAATAATAATAAAATGCACTATAGCATTGTATATGTTGTTCAGATGCACTGTACTGTCACACACTGCTCCCAGAGCTACATATATTCTTGATTGACTTCTCAGTGAGACACTTGCACAGAGAACTCGACTGAACTTTTATCCTGGTGCAGTGATAAACGGTAAAAATAGTTTCTACAATCTAGATAAAGAGCAACAGCTAACAGAGAATGAATATGAATAAGGCTTAATCTTGTGAAAGTTCTACTTCCTCAATTCAAAGTAACCACAATTCAGTCTGAATGAAGGCCTAACAATTAGCAATTAAACCTGGACTGATACCGAGCACCCTCAACTTCTGCCAAATTCTGTGCTTGCCTCCAGCCCATCAAGAGAAATGTACAGTAAAACTCCATTGGTCCGGCATCCAATGCTCTGGCACTCCTGATGGTCCGGTACCATCGGGAACCCGGAAGTGCTCTGTGGCAGGCGGGCAATTGGAACCCCGATTCAGCCGCTGCTGAAACTGACCAGCAGCTGAATCGGGGAAGCCGGGGGCAGAGCAGCTGGGGTGCTCCCGGGTTGGTCCGGTAGCGCCGCCCCTCGACGCTGTGGGACCAACCCAGCAGCACTCCAGCTGCTCTGCCCCAGGCGTCCCCAAGAGCAGCTGGGGTGCTGCCGGGTTGGTCCCCCAGCCCTGAGGGTCAGTGCTACAGGACCAACACGGCAGCACCCCAGCTGCTCTGCCCCAGGCGTCCCTGATTCAGCCGCTGCTGAAACGGACCAGCAGCGGCTGAATCGGGGCGCCTGGGACAGAGCCAGACTATCGGAACGGGGAGGGGCTATGAGGGATCTGGGGTGGCATCCCCTGGGTCCTAAAGGTGCCTTATTATCGGAAGTTTACTGTATATGCATACATCCTCCTGACCTCTCTGCAGCATCCAGTACTATCAGTCACTAAACAGCCTTGTCAAACTCATGACAAGCTGCAGAAGTGAAGAGAAACAGCCTTTTCCTTGGGTCAAATCCAGAGACTTCATGAGGGCACCTGTTCCTCCAACTCCAGGCTAAGGATGTCAATCTTTAGTTGACTACACAATTAACCAATAAGCCTGGTTAATCTATTGACTACATGTATTCCCCACCCCCCTTTGCTGCCTCTGATAGAGGCTGCAAGGGTGGCAGGAAATGGGAGCCAGTGCCCATGGGGAGCTGACTTTTAAGCTGGCTCTCCACAAGCCCAGATCCTGCAGAGCAGCCTGCCACCTCCCTCCCCCAACATGATGCTGTCTCTGAGGGGTGGGGGCAAGGGAGACTGCCACAGAGCAGCTTCTGTCTGTGGTGGGTCCAGGCTCTGTGGGATGCCACTACTGCCCCTGTCTGCAGGGAGCTTGGTTCCCCATGGACAGAAGCTGCTGTCACCCAGCGCTGCTGCCTCTGATACAGAAGCAACAGCATGGGGTAGCAGGGGTTCCCTGGGAGTGCACTGGCTACCATTCCCAGGGACTATTGAATAATTGTTTAACTGCAAAGTTTGGATGTGGTTATACAAGTATTCAATTAGTTGATATCTAACATGCCTACTCCAAGTCCCCCACCCTGAAGCAGAGGGAACAGACAGTAAGTACAAAATATCAGGACCAAGGCGGTGGGGTGCGGTAATAGGCACTTCTATAAACAGAAAATCCCAAACATGAGTATAAGGGTGAAGACTGAAATAGCCCTTTTAATGGATTATATCCACCAATATGACATTATGCAACTTCATGAATTGTAACCACTTTTGGACATTAGTAGCCTGTTAAGAATTACCTTGTAAGACTCCATTATTATAACTTTTTTTTTAATATTGTAACTGAAACCCCATTTTAAACAGTTAATACATTGTGACTAGAAATAACTCCATGTTGTAACTGAAATCCAATTTTAAACTCTGTACTGCCTTGACTCTGTTTACAGTTAAGTATCTGTCTGTAATCTCATTTAGAAATGTAAATGTGGGTGCTCGTGCAAAGGAATCAGTCCCCCGAAAGCCTCTGTTGGAGAATGAGGGTCCTGAAGCAGAAACACTGTTTCCAGAAATTGTATCTGTTATCCATACATCACAGAGAGGAAAAAAATACCGGACATTCTACTTCAGCAGTACTTGAGCATATATGAAAACCGAAAGGCTGAGGTATCACAAATTGGGTAAACTCCAATGTCAAAATGGAAAGAGAAACAAGACAGTAAAAAACAGCAGTCACCACTTATTGCATGGTGTTTCAATGGCCAATGTGAAGTGAATTGGTGGTTTGTCTGGTTCCCAGAAGACAGATTGCCACATGATAAAAAGTGTCACAGAAGGCAAAGGTTAAATAGGCCGCCCACTTGGCCCTCCAAGACACAATCACTTTTTTTAAAAAAGGTTGTTTTTCAATTTCTTTTCCTTCAACTTTTTTCTGCAATTTCACTTAAAATGTTAAGAAAACGCTACCACATTGTAGATCTCAGTACGCTACGTCAGCAGACAGAGTATGTGTGCATCTCTGTGTAAATTATCCCATGCTAGAGAATTTGAGTTTAACATCTCCACCCTCTCCCAAACAAACAATTTCAAAAAGCTGGAAGGTATCTGTGGAGTTTTAAATGTACATAAAATCTGGGTTATGAAATACAAGACAATTGCCTTAACAGTAATCTCTAGGAATAAAGAGCAATGGACAATTACAGGCCTAATAACCAGAAACACAGCTGTTCATCCCATTCAAGTCCTGCTTTTTAAATAACAGTCATTCAACAGAAGCAGTGAGCTGCTTTTGCAGGTCAGATAATACAAAAAAGCCTGCTCATTAAAGCCAAAGTAGACAGCTCACGCCCAAATGAAGTTATGCTTTTTTTGTTAAAAAAAAATCAAATAAGCTTTTTTTCTTAAACACCAAATGTGTGGTCCTGAATATTAAACTCTAATGGAGCCTCAAACCTAGGTTTTTAAGTTATACAACATTATTTGCTAAGAGGCTTCAAGCCACTTCTACAACATGATGTCCAATTCAAAGATTTCCACTAGACAGGCATAACACTGTCCTGAAACTGGCAGCTAGGACTGTCAGATAATTCTTCAAAGGACACTATTAGGTGCCATAATAATACAGTACTATGTTATAAAAATGCATTGATAAGACCCTGGAAGTTCTGAAAGGTCAGCACCTAAAATGGCTAAGGCAATCACCTCAGCCAGTAATCGCATCCAAAAACCTTTAAGAGTGAAATTTACTGTATTTCAATAGATGTAGTTATTCATGTGAAGAGATTTCAATAATTCTGACCCTATTACTTCTCTTCTGGCAATATTCTCCATGAACGCTTCAATGAAAATAGGAAGATACTAATTTTAAAAATGGCATATATGAAGATATAAGCAATGGGGTTTGAGTGCACATATGGTATATTGACCAGTCACAAGTCTTTTCCATTTCATTCACCACCTCCCTCCCCAGGCTCACCCGCTACTGCCAAGTTAGACATGAATTCTAAGTAATTGGAACCAACTCTGCCACTTTATCAATACTGTGGTAGATCACTGCATCTGATTCATAATCCCTGGTCTGTAATGTGTGTAGACAGATTGATTCAAGCACAGGAACAAGATTCACAGAGCTGATTACTGACCAGTTTTTAAAATTTGATTATGTAACAGCCAATCAGTACCTACACAGTAACTCAAACATTGGTTTAAAATAACTAAGAAAAGCCACCAAGAAAATACTAACACTTCTGCATACAGCATGTCAGTAGCAGGCTGAATTAAACCAAAGTGATTCA